TTTTAGAGTCTCTATATTCTTATTAACAAATAATCAATTACTAAATTAATTGACGATTATTTCATTAATCGATTAATCATAATTAATCTGATTAATTGTTTCAGCCTTAGTTGAAATACTTTTTCAAATTATGATTAATTGATAGTTGTAATAATGGTCAACTATGTTGGTATTTAAATTGAACTGTTAACTGGAGTGCACAGACCTAAACATTCTACTTGCTGAAGAAACAACCAACTCAGAGCAGAAGTTAAGACAAAACTGCACAAAATATAAAAACGTTTCCGTTTATCATGGAAAAACTTTTTCTGCCAATATGCACTTAACATCGCATGTGGAATGGTTTAAGTGTCATTTTGTACAAATCTACAAAAAAACTAATAATCCTATTAGGTATTTTTTGTGTTAGCTATTGATTGTAAAGTAGTCAACAAAATTTATCAATTTCAAACTAATTTAAAGAGACTGATTGATAGCAACTTAAATATTAAATTTCACACCAATTATTTGTTTTATTGCACTTTAGAGATGCAACTATTGAAAAAAAAAAAAAAAAAGAAAGAAAATTTAGGAAGTAGTTTTGGATGAAACAGACACAAAATGACAAATTGCAAAGATCCTCCCAATTTCTGCTAATACCAGTCAAATCAAGACCTCTTTTTTATGGTTCAATTCATCAAGGTGAGCACTGGAGACTGAAGCATAAATGAGGATGGTTTTTTAAGTTTAACATTTTCTGTGAGATTCTAAACCCCTAATATTCAATCATTCCAGTGGCATGACTCCTTCAAAGATTGAAATATCAGGGGTGTTCAGCAAAAAACAAAGAAAAGTTTAAACCCATCTCACAAGTTTCTAGAGTCATATTAGACCAACGTTTATAAGTTTTAAGACTCTCTATAATAAAAGTCCAACTCAAAAAATTCCATCAGCTCATTTTGATGTGAACATTCAATGTATTAGTCTGAAAGCTCCTTTGTAAAACGGTTAATTAGGGTAACGGTCAAAAAGCACTGAGGGAAGAATGAATAATTACTGACATATCAATCAGACATGGTGGTGAAAGAAATGAGGAAAGAAGGAAAGCCGTGCAAAAAAAGATGAGAGTATTACTTTGGGTTGGTGGTCTAGAAATAGCTTCTAAGTGTGCGGTATCAGCGACCCTCTGCTGGCATGCCAGCTGGTCAGGAGTGACAGGGAACAGCTGGCTCACACATGCACATAGTAAAGATAGCTTGGGCATGATCAAGTATCAAATAATAGACGGCGACAGAAAGTGGCAGAGGCTGTTCGGAAACAGGCAGCGTGCTTACTAAACGCCACCTCTAAAAATCACTGGAATAAAATACCCATTCGTGTTCTAAAACTGTGATTAACGCAGAAATATATTGAACTGAATCTTACATGGTTACCATGTTTACTTATCATCATCAGACGTCAACAGTTTGCTAACTAGCAAGTGAGCTAGCTTTAGCTAAAGAAGGAAACACCCAGAGTATTAGAAAGCTGGGGAAAAACACTTTTATTCGTTTAGAATGCAAGTCCCTGCAGAATTAAACTGTGCTTCTTTCTCTAGTGTTGACCAAACGTCGTCAAAAACTATTCAGACCTGTTAGCATTGTTAGCTTAGCTTGCTAATTTTGGCTAGCTCTACGCCTTCAGCCCGATGAACATCAGTTGGATGGAGCCAGAGCCAATCGAAACAACCAGCCGTGGTTCTTCATCATTTCAGTAGAACACATAGTACATGATAAAGTAACACAAGCTTCCCAAACAGACTGATAAACTGGTATTTACCTTGTAATAAGCTCCGTTGGAGCCACGGACCTCCACCACCAGTTCTTCCATATTGGACACGCAACGGAAGCCGGGACGACAGGTGTTCCTAAAGGCGAAGTTAAAACCGGATGAGTGGAGCCCGTTCTTCTGCATCTCATCTAACGTTGCAGAAAAATATAGCCCATATGTGAGCTAATAAACTAATTTATACAAAATAATAAACTTCAAACGAACTAACAGAATAATTAATTAACACAATTGACTATATCTTATTGAGATTAATTTACCTCTTAAACACTTTTTTAAACAGGCAAGTAATCTAATAGAATAAGGCAAAACAAGTAAAAGGAATTTTGAAATGGAAAATGTACATAAAAATAGGATGTGCTTTTTTTATTCATCTTACTTAATTCTTTGTATTAAACATTTTGACGCAATGCACATTTTCCGGGTGCTTTTGAAAATCAACACAGAATTCCTTCTGTTTCTTTGGAAAAAAGGTTTTTAAAAATCTGGAGAAGAGCATTTGGGGAAGTAATCTTTTCTGCTACAGATTGTAAATAAGAGTTCAGCTCTGATTTGCCACAAAACATATATATAGGCTATATGTTGATCTGAACCACTGCAGCTCTAAATGTAAGTTGAGGGTTCTGCTGAGCATTTTTAGATATTCTGCAGTCACCGGTGTTCAGCTTCAAACATCTTCCCATCAGCCCCATGCTACTCTGTCCCTGCTGTGAAAAAGCCTCCTAACATTATGTTTCTTTATGCTTGTAGGCATGATAGTTTGATCTAATTATGGACCCTTTTTACACATGTGCATTGCCACAAGCTTGGCTTGTTATTAATTCATTCATTTGTTTATTTAATATGAACATCATACAGTATATACATTGGACAAACCAGATGCAATGTTTGAGTGTGTCAGCACATGTGCTAATTTTCAACATCACTCCACAGGAGGCTTTAAAAAATATTTTAGATATTGAATAATACAGTGTAGATAAACTGCATACAACAGCAGACAGTTTAAAATGCAAAAGAACACGTACAGTGATTGATTGATTGCTTTCAATAGACTGATGGTCCATACAGTAAGTACATACATTAAACTTGAGGCTAATTCATGTACTGTATAAACATTGTTATGTAAACATCTTTGTCATGACTTCAGCCCCTGTTTTAATATTCTGTCTTAGAATAGAATAGAGAATAAAACAATAGAAAATCCCTTGATTGTCCTCCAATGGAGAAATTCTGGTGTTTACAGCAGCAAGATTATAGAAAAAATGTCCACAAATATGGACATTAGAAAAATGTATAAGAATAACATACTAGTAAAAAGGAAAAAAATAAATAAATAATGCATTGTAAAGTGTTTTTACAATATAAAACTGTACACTGGGAGAATAAATAACCAATATACAGCTAAGGACATTTTTACAGTAATGGATATTTAAAAATAGCAGAAAAAATGACAGCAGCATGTTATTTAAATGACTAAGATAGAAACTGTGCAAAATCAGCATGAATGCAGCATCTTATTAAGGTTGTTTGGAACAGTGATGGTTATAAAGTCTTCCAGCTGCTGGGAGGAAGGATCTGTGATAACGCTCTCTTTTGCATTTAGGGTGCAGCAGTCTGTCACTGAAGGAGCTCTCTGCAACAGCTTCACAGATGTTAAAATCAGTCTGTGGTTTCAGGTCAGTGGGGAGAGCGTTCCACAGTCTAGGTCCTTCAGAGGAGAAACTGGAATGTCCAAAGCATGTTCTTAGCAGTGGAACTATACAGTCCCTGCTGCCTGAGGCTCAAGTGGATGGTCTAAGTCAGCCCTGACATATGACAATAAGAGCAGAAAACAGTGGTGATACAAGATTGTTTGCACATTTAAAAAATAGCTTTAAATCAGACTTATAGTGTTTTCATTTAACTACCATGGCTTTCTTCTTGCCAGTCTTAAATGAAAGACCAGATATTTTTGAATACATAACTAATAACTGACCTGTCAACATATTGTTCACACTAAGCTGGGGCTCTCTGCAGTGCCCCCAAATATACAATAGGCCTCTTCTTGTTTTAAGTAAATGGTTGTTTGCGTATTTAACATTTGTGTTGATTTCATTTGAGGAGGGTAAAGGCTGAGTTATCTGTTCAAAGAGTGGGATATTATAACATAAAACTGGGTTAAACATTTCCCCCACTTTATCCCTGACCCATTATCTGCTGTTTTCCTTGGCTTTCAAGATGTTTTTTTTTTTTCACTTTTGTTCTATGAGGTCTTCACAGAACACTTAGATTCATACTGAAATTAAATAGTAACTCACCCAAAATTATGAACTGAAAAAGACGAGCCATATAAACTGGATCTGAGGCTGCTTTTTCAACATTGACCGCTTTGTTGTATATTTTCCAATTTTTTGTCTGGAGAAAGGTAATGCATTTACATCAACAAAGAAATCTGCAAAATTGCTCCACAAAATTAAAGTGTGACAGACCACTACAAGGAGTTTATCACTTAGTTATATGGGACCAGGTCCTCAGAAAGGTAATAATTTGATGTTAAGTAGAAAGTTAGAGAGAAGGAAAAAGAGGGAGGCTTTGCTTAATGTGTTTTTCTGAATGTCTCTTTTACTTTAATATAGAACAGCAGCATAGGCAATACATAGGCAATACATAGGCAAACATTCTGCAGTCCCATCTGACTAGGTGGTCGACTCCCCTTAGCGATCTGGTGCACTTCTGTTTTGTGGAGAAAGTTAGTAGCTTTAAAAAATATATATATATGCTTGCTTTGCAGCATTTCTGCACTAATGTTATTTGGTAGTATTTTTCTGTTGGATTTGTTTGTATGTGTGCTTTAATGCATCATTCAGTGTTTGCAGCCTGTTTTGCTTCTTATAACATGTTTACACCTGCTGCTCACCATTTGTAGGGGTCTTAAATTCTGCAGCAGAATTGCATTGACACCAGTGGGGTTTACTCAAATTGCAGCAAGAGGCATTGACTGCACTTATGTGCACTGAAAGGCAAAGAATGTTGTGCAAGAAAATCTTCAATGACTTTTAGAAAGAAACAGTAGACAAAAAAGGTCTGGTCCAAGGTTATTGTAGCTGATGAATTCTTCATTTGATCGGTAGAAAAAAGTTTAGCACTTTCAATCAAATCTGAGGACAAGGTTCCCCCAACTTTTTCATTAACTGTAACAAGCCCAAATAACATAAAAGAAAAAAATAAACAAACAAATACAAAAATATTACTACAAAAAATGTTAGATGATGAATATGCTCTGACATTTTTAATGGCACATTTAATTTCCTATTAGAAGTTGTTAAACATGAGCCTTCAATTAGATAACAGCAGAACTGTTCCCATGATCACTTACTATTGATGCTAGCACAGTTTGTCTAAATCTAAAAGGCTTTTTCTGACATTTTTTGTTGTTCTATTTATTTAAAAAGGAACGATGAATTTCATATAAGACCGTTTACCCAATAAATGTATCTGATTTAGCCCTTAAAGTCTATTTCCATTAGAGGTCTAATGAAAATAGGATGCGGTATAAAGAAGGATTAAAACATTATGAGACATACATTTTCAACATATAAATACCTTAGGAATGCAGTAATGGTTGTAGTAACAGTGCAGGTGTATCATGTGTATTTAAGAAAGAGATCTTGCTAAAATCTTAAAAATTATCTTAACAATTAAGGTTATGGACAAATTAAAGATTTTGTTTAGTAATTTGAAAACAACCAACCTAAGTTGCTGGAGGGATATTTGGACAGAGCTCATCATCTCTAGGGGAAAGCATAACTTTAGTTCACTAAATGTTTTCTCTTTGTGATGTTGTATGCTGTATGAGCCAGTCAGCTCATTGTCATGCTGAGTGGTGACATTTATTATATGGAAAAGCATTTATCTCCTGATGAGAGTTAATTCTTCCAGAGTGGCTAAAAGAGCCAGAGTCAAAAGGCATGCAAACGTGAAAACAGCCAATCTATGAAGTGTGTGTACCCAACAATCAACAGATTTACAAATGGACATGTATAGTATAGTAATAAAACAGGAACTATCACTTAGGTCAGGGTCTTTCATAAAATAAAGATCTCAATTTAAATTGGATATTTTATATAAGTAGACACTTTTAGTCATCTAAGTTGTCTAATCTCTGTACTAATTATTTTACATCAGACATGTTCTGCTAAACAAAGAAACTTTTAATTCCTTCTTTCTGAAACGGCTGTTTCAAAGTTTTCTAACGCAACATATACCAAGATGTTCAGATTATTTTAAAAGTCAAACTCTGTCTTGTGTTAGAAGCATGTGAATCCGCAATGATATTCTGTCACATAAGCTGCATGTGCATGGAGCTGAATTGCTGGGATGTCCCTCTCTCACTTTTGTTAATGGGCAAGATAAGGCAAGTTCATTTATACAGCACCATTTAGTACAAAGACAATTCAAAGTGCTTTACGTGAATTAAGCAATAAATAGAGATAAAATCATTATAAAAGAATCATAAAAGTATAAAAGTAATACCTTCATCATCTTTGGCAGAGTTCAACATTTTACACCAATATTAGCAATGAAAACAGAGGATGAATCTTTATCACACATTACAATGTAAGGATAACTAATTTTAAATTGGTTCCCTGGCATTAGATTTTAGTAGCTTATCCAAAAAAAGTTGTAGCAGAGGAGTATACAGGGGTTGGACAATGAAACTGAAACACCTGGTTTTAGACCCCAATAATTTATTAGTATGCTGTAGGGCCAATACAGTGTGACATATACAAGTCCTGCACAGTGCTCAGAGGGATTTTAAGCCATTCTTCTTGCAGGATAATGGCCAGGTCACGGTGTGATGCTGTTGGAGGAAAATGTTTCCTGATTAACTCCTCCAAAACACCCCAAAGTGGCTCAATAATATTTAGATCTGGTGACTGTGCAATCCATGGGAGATGTTCAACTTCACTTTCATGTTCATCAAACCAGTCTTTCACCAGTCTTGTGTGTGTATTGATGCATTGTCATCCTGATACACGACACCTCCTTCAGGATACAGTGTTTGAACCATTGGATGCACATGGTCTTCCAGAATGGTTTGGTAGTCCTTGGCAGTGA